CGTGGTGGGGATATACGGCCTGAGGCGCCCCGTTGTCTCTGGGCTCTGATTAGAATAGCTGTCGTCCTCCGGGGCTTCGGCAAATCCCAGGTCCCGAACAGGAGCAGTGCCATTAACAACAGCTGCATTAGCCGCGGCAGGCGTGGCTTTTCATGTGGCAGGGTAGACTTGTGTTAGTGCCAGGGTTAGGCTGGGGGAGCCAGACGCACTGTGGTTTTGGTACAGCGCCACGGTCAGACGTGCGTGCGGCACAGGCTTATGTCACTGCTCATGAATATAGAGGAAACAAGGAGACAAGAGCTCACGTCTTCATGTGTAGATGCTGGTCAAGATGGAAGTATTTAGAGGCATTAACGTTCTTGTTGTACTGCGGTGAGTGTTCCACATGAAGCACCGTGGATTTGACTGCTTCACTGTTGGATTCTAATTACAATATGAGTTTTAATTAACTATTTAGGTTCTTGTTTTTGAGACGCAAAAATAAGTCAAAATTCCAGTTCCCATTTCTGTCCAGAAACTCTGGACCACCTCCATTGATCTGCTCTGGTTAAACTGGTCAAACTGGTCTGGTCTGGTTGACCTGGTTAACTGTCAATATATGAAACAACAACAGAAGAAGAAGAGAAAAAAAAAGTTCTGTTCAAGTTCTGAACAACAAAAGAAGAAGAAGAGAAAAAAATATGTTCTGTTCAAGTTCTGTGGAACAAGTTCTTCCCACGTTCTGTTCCAACACCTGAACGTCTCTCAGCCTACGTAGGGACCTGACGTCTGGGTTTAATAGTGGGTCACAACCAACATTTTTTAGACGCATACCGCCACCTACTGTACTGGAGTACGTAGTGTCATGGTATGACCAGTGACTTTCTGAGATAACGCAGCCTTCTCCTTACACCTTGATGTGCGATTCATTTTTTATTTCAACCCATGTGGATTGTCACGGATTTGTATCGATTTTTCGCCTGACTATATAAGGTGATTCACGTCAGACTTTTTCAGTCGTAACCTTTTTTCTTTTGTTTCCGACAGATTCTCGTGGCTCTCAGACATCTGCACTTCAAAAACATCGTTCATTGTGACTTGAAGCCTGAGAACGTACTACTGGCCTCGGCGGAGCCGTTTCCTCAGGTGAGAAACGACAAGACAAGACAACGCTTTCGGTTGTGGTCCATGTCCGTCTGCAGCTCTGATCTGAATGTTCGATGTTCTGTGTCTGCGTCAAGGTCAAACTCTGTGACTTTGGCTTCGCCCGCATCATTGGCGAGAAGTCGTTTCGCCGGTCCGTGGTGGGCACCCCGGCGTACCTGGCTCCGGAGGTGCTCCGCAGTAAAGGCTACAACCGTTCCTTGGACATGTGGTCCGTGGGAGTCATCGTGTACGTCAGCCTGAGTGGGACGTTCCCCTTCAACGAGGACGAGGACATCAACGATCAGATCAAGAATGCTGCCTTCATGTACCCGCCCACGCCCTGGAAGGACATCTCCATAGAGGGTAAGTAAAAAAAAAATCTGCCCTCATTGGCCAAACAACTGAAGTCCCTTGAAGTCAAGTTGATTTTTTTTAAAAATATGGGCTAAAAAATTTGAATGGTGGGTTAAAAAAGATGGAGTCAAATTGGGGGAAATATACTGTAGAGTGGAGTCTTTGCAATGGGCACAGGCTGCCACAAGGGAGGCGCCATTAGGCTATGTGATATGTGGTTCTTTAGGGAATCAAACCCAAGACCCTCTGTATCAATAATAAAAGATTAGGAAACTGAAGATAATACAAATATCCATGTATTATTTCTTATACAGTAAATGTATTAGAAAACTCACAACACGGTTGATTTTCATGCAGGACTGCAAGTACTTAAATGAAGTAAAGAGCTGTGCGGGCCCGTGGGGTGGGGCTCAGAATAGCCAAAAAAGCCGGCAAACCCCCCCCCCCCCCGCCTCAACCTTCCACCTACACGGCCGTATCGTCTCAGCCTTTCTCTGTTTCTGTTTGAATCTCCCCGACCGTCTGAGCTGCAGCTTCTCGCGCCTACGCTGAAAATATGTCACGTTAATGTGCAACGATCAGACGACGGCGAGCGTTTCTTCACCTCGAATGGCTTCGTCTCAATAACAGAGTCTGTCTTTTGTGTCCCACGCAGCCAGAGATCTGATCAACAACCTTCTCCAGGTGAAGATGAGGAAGAGGTACAGCGTGGACAAGTGTCTCAGCCACCCCTGGTTACAGGTGACCACATTCACACTTGATGAAAACCTCGAATTCTACACAGTCGTAACTCGGTATCAAACACGGAGTCGGACGCTGTCGGGCAGTTCAGTTCGTAAAGACGGTTAGACCTTTAAGTTTCGGGTCAAGTGACACGTTGTTTACTGGAAAACAGGAAATGAAATGTTGTGTTGGTGTGAAAGCGCTGCTCACTTTCTGTTCAGACATAACATACAGACAGTTGTATTTAATATATTTTCTTATTTAATTGAATAGTTTTATGGAAATATTATGTCACGTAAAAAAAAAACAGTGTAGGTTTAAAGAATTTAAAACAGAAAGATTGGTTCCTTTTGGATATAAAAGTACAAGGGTCCACGTCTTACGCCGGAATTATGTTTCTGTGGCGCGACGTAACTCAATTTTCGAAGTCGAAACTCATACTTCTACAGCAGCGTTTCCCAAACTTTTTTTCTGGGGACCCATATTTTAAAAGTCACAAACCTTCGTGACCCAAGTCAACAGACATTATTCGTAAACTCCTGGGAAACATGATGAGAGACGACCCGGAAAAAAAAAAGAATCTCTTGCGACCCACCTGAGGGTCACGACCCAGTCTTTGGGAAACAATGCTCTACAGTACCTCTGTCATTCATCTCTGCTAACACATCATAATAACATCGTAATCCAGGACATACAGAACGTCAGAGTCTGACTTACACCTGGGAGCCAAAATGAAGGGCAAAAATAATTCCCAAAAAAACAACAATACAAACAAAATTAAGTAAATGTAGCACAATCCGATGTATCGCGTACAACCAGAAAATGTCGTCCGCATGATGACGTATTTGTTTGCGCCGATCGCTAACTAGTTCCCTTGCGAAATTAGTTTTAATGTCGGAATGATGGAACTAGAGTTTCTTAATAAGTTTATTGGAGATCGTAACCATCAAAATGCCATAATCAGAGGATATCGCAAACTGAGGACGCCTTAAAAATACATCGTCACGCAGCAGTGTTTTTCAATTTAATTACAAAAAAAAAAAAAAAACACTGTTTCTACACCGGTGTATTCGTAGCGTAATCCACCTCGAGCTGGAGGTTTTGAACCTTAAGTGAACTGACTCTGGTGCAAAGACTACGCTACTGATCACATGACGACATCGATGAGTCAGTGAATGAAAACGCGTATTTACTGCGCTTTAATCAGATACTGCATTAACCAATATGGGAGTTGATGCAGCGTCGGGTATGAAAAGATAAAAGTACCAGTACTGGGGAAAACCATGTTTGTTCTGTGCCCTTTTCTGTGACTGATCTGTCAGACCCTTGACTGAATCTGAAACCCCGTTCTGTCCCTCAGGACTACCAGACTTGGCTGGACCTCAGGGAGTTCGAGACGCGTCGGGGAGAGCGCTACATCACCCACGAGAGCGACGACGCGCGGTGGGAGGAGTACGCCGATGAGCACAGCCTTGTTTACCCCAAACACTTCATCATGGCTCCCAACCTTGACGACATGGAGGAGGATCCTTAGGAGCTGAGAGAAACCTGAAGGTTGGGTTATTTTACAGGGACTTGTGGCATGGAGCTTTTCGAAGCAGCAGATTTCCCCTCCAGGACTGGTTGTCGTGGTGACGGAGAGGGACGGCGATCTGATGCTGCGGAGCTGGGGAAGGACACAGAATGCTCGCTTGATGCAACGCTTCAAGCGGCAGGCAGGTGGAGACACAGGAACGCATTAAAAGACTGCGAGGAGAGAGGGACCTTCTCCTTTTTGCACAATGTTCAAACATTCCACGGACTTTCTCTCTAGAACAATCCCAATACTCCAGGTGAACTCCAGGTGACGCGAGCAAGGAAGACTCTCGGTTCTTTTGGGGGGAGAGACGGGAGTGACGAGAGTGAGATCTGCTCCCAGGAGTAAAGGGCAGTTTTTACAAGGGATTTGGCAAGCCTGAGAATCAAACTAGCGCCCGTTTGTTCTCATTTCCCCCCCGGCCGTTTGTGAGACAGTCCGCCGGCATGAAACTGGAACTCGCTCATGTATTTCTTATGTTCTGTTCTAATGTATGTAGTAACTGTGGTAGGTTTTGCACTACTACCACTTTACCACCTAACAACGTCAGCTGGAGGGTATTAACTCCCGGCACAGAAGTCGACCAAGTTTCCACTGACAGATCGCAGGTATCAGGTATTTCCAGCTCTTACGAAAGAATCTGTGCAGTGACTTCCAATAAAGTGAAGGGTTTTTGTTTTTTTAAGTTTGTCAAAAAAACTGTTGGCCTACGCTAACCCCTCATGTCAACAAAACTGTTCCTTTTTTTTGTTTGTTTGTTTCTGACTTTTTATCTCAATCCTTTGTTCTGTTAGAAAAATAAAACGTCAAAGAATTGGAGTTTGCTTGATGACATTAAAAGGGTTAAACAGACGAGTCAAACATTTTCTGTAACGTTCCCGATATTTTTATTAGGGATGTCCGATATGATCGGCCCGATGTTAGCATAATTGTGTAATATCTGTAAGAATCGTTAATTGGTTTTTCCTCCGATAATGAACTGCTCCGATAACGCAATGCCTGGGTTTGGCTAAATGATGTGTGAGCTAAAAAAAAGTTTGGGGGAAAAACAACTGTACATGAAAGTGAAAGTCACTAGATGGCAGCATTGCAGCTAATTTTAATAATGAGGGGATTGTATGCTGAATGCTAGCGCCAGCAACTCATACAGTAGTTCGTACAGATAAATAAATAAATATTACCAGGCCTATATCGGTATCGCTTGATATCGGAATTGGAAATTAAGTGTTTGGACAATATCGGCATATAGGATATTTGCAAAAACTTAATATCGGACATCCTTAAATTTTATTTTATGTGACAAATGGCCGATTTACTTTTTTTTTTTTTTTCAGAAAAGATCAGTCTATACTCCGTATCCCATGATGCCAAAGTGAGAGGTTTTTAAAAGTTGAACTGTGGTCGACAAAAATATTCTTGTTGAAAATTTCAAGATCAGTGAGATTGAAATTTTAATTCGTCCACTTATTGTTGCTCTGTGCGATTAATCGCATTTTTTTTTTTTTACAAATGTACTGTATGTGTTTTTTTAAGCGTATCGTAAATACTGCACACAAGGCCAGGAAAGATTCTTACGTGAGCAAACGATTCTGTCGGATTTTCTTCTTTGTTGTGTTTTTTCAGGAACCTTTTTTTTTTTCTTTCAAATCCCGTTTGTTTAGAGAAGTGTGCGTTCAAATCACGTGGGAGTTTTCAGCGCCGCAGTTTTCCAGTTCAAATGTTGTTTTATGCTAGTACATTCCTGTTTCTCGTCCTTTTCCTGTCCGTTGTTGCCGCTGGATTGGCAGGTGTCGGTGTTTTGTACGTTTCAGTTTCATACGAACAGAATAAAAAATACAAAAAAAAACCCCAAAAAAAACCTCAACTTCTTAGACGGAAATCCACGTTTTCTCCCCGTTTCTCATTTGATTTGACGGATTCAACACTGGAATTTGGATTTCCTTGTGTGGGTATGTCGACATGTATGTGTGTGTGTGTGTGTGTGTGCAGTGGGTTTTCATGTCAGGTCCCGTCCTGGGCAGCTGGATGTGATTGTTGCACCACATGGAGCAGCGTGCAGTGGCAGACGCTCGCCACAAAAGAGTAATGACACAGTTAGAGAGGGTGGCTGTGGTGGAGGGGGGAGGGGGGTGAGGGGGGGTGAAGGCCTTTGATAATACTAGGTATTGTGAACATGTATTTAATGAAGTGACTTCCTGTTGTCTGACAGATGTCCACAGACAAATATTTTTGAACTGAAAACTGATTTGAATATTTGTCCTTCTCACGTTTCTCAACATGTGGGTCACGGCAAAAAAAAAAAAAAAAAAAGGTTTACTCCTTAAATCAAATTAAAGTCAAATCCTCTCAAGCAGTGTTTCTCAACATGTGGGTCACGGGCTTTTGTCAAGGCAAAAAAAAAAAAGGTTACTCCTTAACAGTAGGTGGCGATAACACCCTTGCAGTGCGGGTTGACACTTGACATTGAACATCATCATATTCTGTTTACATATGCTAACTGGACACGTTGAAACGCAGGTAAAAGAGTTCATCAAGAAAAAACACAGGGGACTTTTTCGACTTCCCTCGGAGGACGTTGAAAAGTCACGTTAAACGTCTTGACAAACGGATTTTTCTGTCAAAGACCCGGTCACTACAAACCAACGACCGTAGGACTCGGAAACCAAGGAACCAGGTTCAGTTCTTTGTGTGAAAAGTTCCAAACTCAGGAACAGTTTCTGGTTCTGGTCCAGAAACAAAAAGAAAACTAGAGCAAAGTCAGTACAAGGAGTACGACACGGAGGAACACGATCAGGTGGATCAGACCTGACGAACAAACCACAGTAAGTCAACAGGAAGAAGTGAGGGAGACGGACATATATGGGCATATATGTCCATATATGGAAAGGGCAGCAGGTGAGACGAGTGAGACAAACAGATTAACTGATTGAAGAAAAAAACGTTTCAGTCGCAACTTCAACACGCAGCTAATTACTGTCACACAATGAAAACGTAGGACGGACGCTGCTGCTTTCTCTGGCATGTTGTCACAACTGCAATGCATGATGGGATATATTCCTTGGTCCAATACAGTGGACAACTTCTACTTGCTAAACAGGAGAAATACTGGAGAAGTAAAGAATGCAGTATTTTCTTGCAGATAGAAGAAGTAGTAGTAGTAGTAGTAGGGCAATATTCCTTGGTCCAATACAGTGGACAAGTTCTACTTGCTAATCAGGAGAAATACTGGAGAAGTAAAGAACTGCAGTATTTTCTTGCAGATAGAAGTAGTAGTAGGGCAGAGAATACTGGACAGAACTGGACAGACCCCCCCTCAAAAAAAACAACCCCCCCCACAAACAGCAAACAAACAAAGCAACATTTAAAGTTCACATCAACAAACAACTCAAACATCAGACTGCGAGTCAGAGACTGTGGTCCAACCACGGCTGAACCAGAGTCTGGCCCTTTATACTGGCAGCAGGAGCAGTGGACCAATCAGATCACACCATCCTGCAGCACCTGACAGAGCAGCTCAATCACACACACCATGGGATAATCTCACTCACTCACACACACACACATACATGAGGAGAGAAGCAAAGATGGGGGGAGAAATAGAGAAACAGAAAAAAAAAAAAACCCTGGGGGGAGAAACAGGGGGGGTGACAGACAGTGGTGACGTCATTATTATGTTATATTAAAGGCTGTTTCTTTTACTGGAATTGGATCTTTTTACAGTGTAGAATAAATTACAAGTAAATAAAATACAAGTGTGCCCCCCAGAGGTCATTCAGGAATCTGATAGCGATAAAATATAAAATTATTATTATTATTATTTTTTTTTTTTTTTAATAATACGTTTAATAATACTAACACGTGTACACTTATAAATACAGTTCATATGTCTCTTCTTTATATCTATTGATATATTTAAAATATTTTTTTGTTTTAGTTTTCTATTTTTTTTTTTAATAATACGTTTAATAATACCAAAACGTGCAGTTTACACTAATAAATACAGTTCATATGTCTCTTCTATATTTCTATTGATATATTTAAAATATTTTTTGTTTTAGTTTTCTATTAAACGTCACAGTTTGTGTCCAGTTAAAAAAAAATCTGACATTTATTTTCTTGTTTTCACTCTTTGTTCTTTTTCAATCGTCACAGCTCCAATAAGGAGCCGCAGTTTCCTGTCCTTCTCTCCCGGATCCTAATAGTTTCAATCTGTCCTTCTTCTTCCCAGATGAGACGACCCCCAGTGACCCCTGGGGGGCGCAAACACCCCAGCAGAGTCAGTGTAGCTTCACTGGTAAATGTCGTTTTTATAAGTCGGATCAAAAGACAAAACGTAAACAACAGAAGGACTTGAAACACACAGAGACGCTTTAAAGCCTCAGGGAGCAGGAAGCGCGATGTCGCCCTCTTGTGGTCAGAATGAGGTATTGAAAATGTTGTTCTCAAATTTATATATTTTTTCAGACGCTTTAAAGCCTCAGGGAGCAGGAAGCGCGATGTCGCCCTCTTGTGGTCAGAATGAGATATTGAACATTTTGTTCTCAAATTTATTATTATTTTTTTTACCATTAAACTAAATGATAAAATTGGCCGAAAAAATGATAATTGATTGTTGTTTTTTTAACTGTACAGTTTGTACGTCATCATTACGTCACAGTTTGTAGATTTAAAAGTCCTTTTCTTCCTGTTTTTATGCAGGTGTCTGTAGTTTGACTGTTCAACACGGATCAACGCTCACGTTAAAGTTCGATTTTATTTGTTTATTACAATAGAAAGAAACGATTAATTTCTGTAAATGACAAGAAAAATATTCAATGAAAAAAAAAAAATTCCGGACATGTAATATAAAGTTTTAAAGTGACAGGTCATCCTCTGTGCTGCCAGTAGGTGTCACTCGGTGCAGATTAAAACGATAAACATTTAATGGAGATTAAAAATAAACAATCAAAATAAAGTGGTTCATTCGCTAACTTTTAATTTTGACAAAGAAATGATTTTATTTTTGTATAAAATACAGAATATTTAAAAATCTGTTTTCTTTGTTTTTATTTGTTTTGGAAACGGTGTCTCACGTCACCAGCGTGTGGTCTGAGGTCGACTTCCAAACAAACTCAGTCAAAGGTTGTTGTTTATTAAGAGGTCTCTTCAACATCTGCCCCAGGATCAGAGGCAGACACCGGCCTTTGTTGCCCCCGTCTGGGCTCTGGGGCTGTTTGTGCAGCAGCTTCTCGGCAGGTCTCTCGTCACCTCACGGGGAGGTCTGCTGTGTGTCATGTAGACCACCACCACCAGCAGCAGCAGCAGCAGCAGCAGCAGCAGCAGCAGCCTTCTTACCCCTCTCTGTCCCCCCCCCCCCCCACCTCCTCTCTACTCCATGCTGGGTATCCATGAGCTCCAGACCAAACAAACAAACAAACAAACAAACAGAACAACAGAAAAAGCCATCACACAGACACGGCTGTGGAGAGAGAGAGAGGGAGACACAGAGAGACAGAGAGAGAGAGAGAGAGATGTTGTTTGCTCTCCAGCCCGGTGTCATTTCACTGTGACGGCAGTGAAGGCCTCCCAGGACAC